TACATACATACATACATACATACATACATACATACATACATACATACATACATACCCACACCGACACGTACACGCTTTTTGGTCTCTTCCGAGGAATGATAGCAGGATGAGAATAAGACGAACCTACATTTGCAGCACACATGTACAAAACAAAAACTCCCCCCGCATCAAAGCTTCTGTCGTCATGTCCCGATGGCTCAAAGGGACTCGTAGGAATCAAGACTTATTGCCCCTTCTCCCACACTTCCGGAGACGTCGACACCTTCAAAGCAATACGACGAATTAGGGTTAAGCTGGTGTGAAGAGCCCTTGAGAGGCATTGTGCTGAAATATTATTATTTTATGGCGGATCCTTCGACTCACGCGAGTCGCTTTACAAAGTAAATGCCCTTCCTTTGGTGTGGAAGATCAGTGGGTCTTACTGACTGGCTTGTAGAAGAGCAATGTTGACGTAGAGTTCTGACAAACAAAAATGTCGTCTCTAGAGACTTTGATGGTTCTCTCTTCCTAACACGTAGCCTCCAGTACAGAAATAGCTCGCAATGTTCTTTATCTTTATTTTCTTTTTGTATTTTCTTTTGCATTTTCTTTTATATTTTCTCCCCCCGAAGAGGAAGATTTTTTTTTCCTTTATTTATTTCATTCTGAAACCTGGAGGAAGCAGAGGCCGACCACAGAGGGATGATCATATTGCCGTGGTTTGGTGCACATATGCGTGCTCTTTTGTAGGACGCAGAGACACAACAGGTTTGGTAAACACAGAGTTGTGTTTATTAGCATCGCAAACAGGAGTCACCGTAGGTTCATTCTCCAGTGCAAAAGAGTTAAATCTACTTGTCGTTCAATGCTGGGCCTGCGATGTGACCGCTCAAAGCTGCGGCCCATATGGTGATGTGTTACTTTATTCAAGCCGCCCATGTTTTTGTGGTGAGATTACTCACAAGTGGGAATAAAGTCTGCGAACAGCATTTTGTCTATCCCTCCCCCCCCCAACCCCCTTTT